CTTGCTTGGATAAAATATCCGGTATTTTCGAACAGTTCTAATTTATAATCTATAAATCAATTTTCCTCATTCTATATTAATTAAATACTCTTTGAATATCTACTTTATCAATTGACCGCATTTGCATTTACGATTATATAAATCAAACTGTCATTTCAATTGCTTCATATATAGTAATTCATACTAGAATAAATTCTACCAATAGAGTTGTGATTGGAGCCTTAATTGAAATCTATTATTAGTTTTTGTTTTCATTGACAGATCAATTGCATTACATTTTATTACAATAATAAAAATTCATATTCGTTTTTGTGATTGTAATAACTAATGTTGCTAATTAAAAACGATAAATATTTTTTAAATGGATTTTCAATTCAAATAGTGCATGCATAATATTAATGTACATGAACGATTCGCAATGAAATAAATATTCAATAAAATTTATATGGGTTATACAAATAAATATTGCTTTGTTTATTCTTTGGATATTAATATTTTATTTGATCAAGTTTTAATTAAACTTTTTATTATTTGTGTCCTCTATATTTTATAAAATCAAAACAGAAATATTTAAATATTGCGTCAATAATAATTATTGCAAAGTAATTATTACATACCAGTATCAAAAATAATCTTTTCTTGATGTGGTTTTTTTATACAAGGTATCCCAGAACTTAACGTCAAGCCGAAACGGGGCGATAGTATTGATCATAACTGTCATGAAAAAAAATTATCTCGCATAGTTTGAAAATTATGAGCTCTTAACTGCAACTCAGAGTTTTGATGCAAATGTTAATATTTTTTTGTTAACGTTGAGTTCTGGGATACACACCCTGTATTATGTATACATGGTGTGTATCTTATGATTTATTTAATTGAATCTTTTAGTTTATTTAAATTGCACTTGATATGATCTCCAGATTTTTATCTAGTATCATTTTTTAAAACAAAATCTTGGAAATGAAATTACACAAATTAAATATGTACTATTAAATCTAATTTGAAATCTAGAAATATATTAAGAATTATTTCCCTTAATTCCAATAAATATTAAATCTAAATAAGTTAATTCATATATAATTAATATTATTTGCGTGAGATTGTTTTCTTAATAACATATTGATATATTAATGTATGTCCTTCTTTCATAATGATTATAACATGTTAAAATCATTGTCACAGAGTTGACGTTCATCTCATTGTCCCAATGACGTTGAGTTCTGGGACAGGGTGACCATTTTTTGTTTTGACTTGACGATGAGTTCTGGGACACCGCACGTTAATCGCCACGATAATATCATAACAAATTTCACTTGCGCCTTGATAAATTTATTAGATCATTTAGTTAAAAATGCATCAAGAAAACTTATTGTATCAAAGAAAATTTTTTTTTGTGAAAATTTCTGGAAAAACACTTTTATATCACACTTATGACTGATATAGCTCTATATTAAAACTTTTTTCTCCTTGTAACAAATTGCGTATGTCACATCTATATGCATTAGGGCGGGTCGATTTGAAGGTCACATATGATTTTTGGATTCTAGGAATTAAAATAATATACTTTGCTGAAGAAACCATACCTCTAAAATGGATTCTCATGTCCTGTGAATTGACTCAAAGATAAGGGTTGAATTTTGGAAAACATTCAGGGGTAGATCGGCTTTCCAATGTTAGTGGGGGTCAGTCATACATTTGGACGCGCTCTAAATGGGTCTAAATGGGATTTTTCAAATTTTAACCCTTATTTTTGGGTCAATGCACGGGACAATTAATTTTAGAGGTATGGTTTCTTCAGCAAAGTATTTTATTTTGCTCCCTAGTATCCGAAAATCATGTGTCTAAGCGACTTTTTTTGACCCATACAAATCGACCCGCTCCGAAACACACATAGGACAGACATGGGAATAGACGTGTCAAACATCCTAAAATTGTAATTGCAATCAAATGAATAATTTCACTTTCGTTTTTGAAAAAAGTCTTCCTTTTAATTGTTTTGTTAATTTGCGAGCTCAGTCGAACAGTAAAATATTATCTGCAAAACTTGCCCTATGATAGTTTACTAATAATAGTGTCAGTTATATGGAGCAACCCCAAAAATACTATGCAATCATTTATTAATGGCTATAATTTATTTAATGATTCGAATCAACGTCGCAAAAAGACCAAAAGTGGTGATCCATCCATCCATTTCTCCATTCCATTTTTGTCATCCCAGACCTGGTATTACATCTATTTCTGTTGCTCTTTGAGTTTTCCAAGTGACTGGTGTTGTTCGTTAAGGTGATCTATCGCTTAAGGGCAAATGCTTAAATTGCCTACATAAAACTAGCGTCCATCCCCCAAAATGATTCGTTTATAGACAGACGGAAACTGACGAAATGAGCAAAAATTCCTCTGCACATCGGCTTACGGCCACACTAATGATATGGCCGCTTGCCAAAAAGATTACTTCAATTTAGAACCTACTAGTGGGGCTTTACGTTAAAAAAATACTTTTCGCGTTTTCTTTCACCAGGATTAATTCACTGTGCTGACAGTATCATCTATTATCCTGCGGAAATGGAATGTGAGGAATGAAATCGTTTAATTAACGCAGGTTCATTTATAGTAATGAATTTTTGGGACTGAATTTTGATGTTTGTAACCGGATAAATTTAATTGATTGATAAAAGATTCATTCTTATTGACTGAAATAAACATCGCGATTGTTTGTCAAGTAATCAAAAATAAATAGGGTACAACGGGGTTAAGGGTTCGCGGGTAAAAAGGTTCACCAACAATATCTCGAAAGCAAGTAAAGTTTTTTTTTTTTAATATTCAACTATATATTTACAACTGTCCTACATAGACATTAAGTAAATCTTTTGGCAATTATATATAAAAAATGACATCGATATAAAAAAAGCAAGTAAAGTTAGGGATTTTTTTTACCAACTATATTTGAAAGTAGAGGGAAAAAGATATATATAGTGGTATAAATTCCTCCAGGAATTTTACGAAACAATAGCTACATTATTCAACCAATGCAAAGTTTAAATTTTATAGACACATTTTTCACAAAAATACCATTGTATATAACCTTGATCAAGTTCTAATTGCTTTTAGGCTTTTGGCTTTTGGCTTTTGGCTTTTATATAAAAACCGACATTTTAGGAAACCGGTTTTCGAAATTTCCCAGAAAACCGGTTTTTAGCCGGTTTTCGAATTTTATATAAAAATCAATTTTTGCTCGAATATTCTGTAGTAACAAAAAAAATTATCGGCCAATTTAGTGTGATTTAATGTAGTTTTTGACTGAATTTATTTAATGTTCAATTTTATGACAAATTAATTTGCATTTTAATTAGAAGAATAAAGAAATAATAGTTGAATTGGTTTAAATAACTTTAAAAATGATTAGTCGTTATATATGCATCATTTTCACATATGAGAATATAAATATTTTTGTGATAGTGATTAATTAAATAGAAAAAAAAATTAGATACATATTGATATATACTTGTTAATGTAAATTTTATTTCTAAAAACAATTAAACAAAACCCCGAGTTTATTCTATTCCGAACAATTTTAATTAATTATTTTAATTAATTATTTTCATATATTTAATTATTTTTTGGTTTAATAAAATATGATTGCTAAAAACTGAGAACGTATATCAATTTTTTTTATTTAGAAGTGTCCATTGTTTACTCACATTATTTATAATAATTCTGAAAATTATGTTTTTTTATTTGTGGCTTCTAGGGTGAAATACTAATTTTTCAAAGTTTGAGTAAAGCAATTCACTTCTTCAACAAGAAGTCACATTGATAATACTAAATAATAATTATAAATGAAAAATAATTTTAGTAGTTGTGAATTGTCGATCAATATTTCTTATAGATCACTTGATCAAGGTTATATACAATGGTATTTTGTAAAAAATGTGTCTATAAAATTTAAACTTTGCATTGGTTGAATAATGTAGCTATTATTTCGAAAAATCCCTCTAAAATTAAAGATAAGACGTTAGATCTGCTTGCCATATTTTAATACGCCCATGGGGCAAACAGGGACAGATGACACGAATCACCCGATTTGAATGATTCAGAAAACGTTCGATTTCTATTAATAATGAGATGCGCTGATTAGTTTTTCGCAAAGGCAGGTCCGGCCGTTTCGGAGATACAGAGCAAAGATTGCAGAAAATGGAAATCGAGCTTTGAGAGAACGGAGCAGCATCCTATCTGAATGATCCAAAAACATTCAATTTGTAATGATGGGGAGGAGTGGCGATTAATTTTTGGCAAATGCAAGTCCAGCGATTTCGGAGATACGGAGCTAAATATGCAAAAAATGGCAGTTTTGAAAGAACTAAGCATTCGATTGACTAAGTTGACAAATTTTAGAAAAGCTGTAGAAAAACGTATTTCTATAATTATGAGTTTCCTGGGATTTTTTGTAAATATAGTTCGATAATTGTTTGTTTGATACGTCGTATGTATTGTAATATAGTTGATTTAGTATTTAGTCAAACTGGATCTTTGTACCCCGCCCTACCCAATCATATTATGACACTTTTCAATTCTAAACCTATTTCCTAAACTTATTAATTTTCTCTATACGTTTACTAAAATTAATTGAAAATTCTGTACGATAATATTTCAGGGTTCTATACTGTCAACTGTATGATTAATGTTTATCGCCCAAGTACTAAGTTTTGCGTAGAGTTCTCAAGGATTAAAAGTTTAGGTAACAGTGCTAGGAAATCGGGGTAATATCCATGATGTAATTTAATAAAGTATAAAAATTAGACAAAATATCAAATTAACTTCGGGTTTGTGTCGCTCTGAAGAGTTTGGGTACCTAGAAATTAACTTGTTTTCTACTTCCTCTTTCGTCTGATTATCACAAAATTTGAACATACATGTGTCTGATTCTTCTGTCTAATTAATTGGCAGATAATTTACAATTCCAGAATTAATTTCAATCCAAATATTTCCTTAACTATCAACACGTTTGACTGTTTAGAGTCAGCCACCCGTGCAAAGGAGGCTTTGAACAGCGCTGATATTTACTCTGGATGCTGCACTCTCAAGATCGATTACGCCAAGGTGAGTTTCATTTTTGTTCTTTATGCTTATAATATGATGGAAAAATGATAGAATGAAAACTTTTTGTCATTTGAATATTTATTAGCTATTATAAACATTTTGCCAGAGTTGCCTTTATAATGGAAAATTATGGGCGACGAAAAATTCATTTTGTATAGCACCTGCTAATGGAATTTTATTGTAGTAAAAAGTTTTTAAGGGATTATAGAGGAGCTTAGTTTAGAGTTGGTTTATTTTATCGCTGCATTATTTTAAACAAGCGATTTTTAATATAAACATCGTAATGTTTATCTTTTATCATTTTTCCATATTTTAATAAATTATATATGCAGTTTATATCAGATTTTTCTTCATTTATGTATCTAATTTAATGAGATGCCATATGATTCTTATTTTTTGTGAATCTACATTTTATCTAAATCTTTTTTCTACTTGGGGTATGAATAATTGCATATAATATTGAATGTTCTTTATATCAAATATAATCATTACATTTACATATGCATTTTAGGGTGGTCCTTAATATGGACATTTTTTAATTTCCTTGCTCCCATGGGCTCAAATGGTTCCAAATTGATAAAAAACAATTCTTTGAAAGTTTTAGCTCTTAATATTGTCTTTTAGATAGAGCGCAATTCAATCAAAGCGTTGTATGGAAATAGCATGAAAAAATTTTCAAAAATATTGCAGAGCGTCGAATTTCGAATAAAAAATGACACGAATTTTCACTTTTAATTCATTTGTCGCTAAGTTATACCTAAAAATTTTTTTTTTAATTTTCAAAATTTTTTTCATGCTATTTCCATACGAAGTTTGATTGAATTGCGCACTATTTGAAAGTTAATATTAAGAGCTTAAACTTTCAGAGAATTGTTTTTTATCAATTTAGAACCATTTGAGCTCTTGGGAGCTAGGAAATTCGAAAATGTCCATATTAAGGACCACCCTAATGTATTTGCAATATGGAAGCATAAAAATAATTTGTAAGCACAATGTTTTGGTATGTGCTTTATTCGAAATATTTTTCAAATCGTTTTGCGAATAAAAAGTCTTATATGTAGAAGAAATTACAATGAGAAAGTAGGCATAGCCAAATTGTTCTGAATTTTTTCCATGAATTTGATAGTATTCGGAAATTTTCAGCATTTTATGCATCTTTTTGTATTCCTAAGGGTAAACCAACGTGTCTCTAATCAACAATGCGATTGGATTCCTAGAATTTTACAACTTTATCTGCAACAAATATCAAACTTTTTAATAAGACTCAATTGTACTTCGGATATTGGGCTCAAACAAATTTTGCTAGTGTAATTTGCAAAATTTGTTTGAGCCAAATATGCTAAGTACAATTAAGTCGTTATTGATTGTTTGGTCAAAAATTCACCGCCAACACCTTACAAGGTAATAAATTTTGTCTATAGTTCCCAATCCATTACTATTTTGGTTTTGGTTTCCGTTGCAATTTATATTTCTTCTATAAATTTGTACATGCACTTTTGAATATGTTTCTCACATATGCCATTTTTGATACGGTATTCCTTGATGATATTGATTGACGAGTTCAGAATTGCTACTTCATCCGTTTCTGCTATCAACTGCTCATAGATGTCTATTTTTAGTACGTTGAATATTCCAGATTTACATGATCTTAAGTTTTATTAGAATTGCTTTCTCATAAAACTAGATGATAGTAATGCAACATGAATCATACTAGAAATATCTGTCTTTGTTTTTTTTTATATATGCTTTCTGTCAACGATTAAAATGAGAGTGTAGTCTTTATCATCTTTCTCGAACTGTAACATATGTCAAAATATTATTCAAAAAGGACATTTTAGAAAATACCTAATTTTGCAATTTATCTTGACCAAACTTTATGAATTTCTGCAAGAATAAGAACTTGTTCCAAAAAAATATGCGATTCGTATGAACTACTTCCTGAGATTGATTTTTAACTTCCCGTAGGGTAAGTTATTGTAATGGGCCGAAAATCGGAATTGAAAATTTTTACATTTCTCGACGTTTTGAAGGTTTCGGAACAATTTGGCATACCTCAGAAAAAATGGATGTGTGTGTGTGTGTGTGTGTGTGTATGTATGTATGTATGGATACAAATTTCCAGTCACGTTTCCGAGCGAACGGATCAACCGATTTGAATGGTTCAAAAAACATTCGATTCCTATCGATAGGGAAAAGAGCTGATTAGTTTTTGGCAGAGGCAGGTCCAGCCGTTTCGAGGATACGGAGCAAAGAGTGCAGAAAATACAAATCGACTTTTTGAGAGAACGGAGTATCCGATTTGAATGATCTAAAAAACATTCAATTAGTAATGATTGGGAGAAGTGTTTATTAGTTTTTGGCAAAGGCAGGCCCATCCATTTCGAAGACACGGAGCTAAATATGTAAAAAATAGCAGTTTTTCCATTTTTTTTTTTTTTAATTTTTTTAATTTTTTGTATATCGAAAATAATTCAGATTTCATTTTTCATTCTGACTATAGTTCTAATATACTTTAAACAAATAATTTGAACTTTGCAATTCAGTTTATATAATTCTTATAAATATTAGATAATGTTACAATATTTATAATAATCTATTTGAAAACATTCAGTATTCCTCGAACATTTCGTTACGGTACGGGAAGTTCCAGCAATTTGCCTTAAGGCACGATGCCACCCACCCCACTAGTTTGAATTTTGTGTTGGCATTGATATCTTCAATATTCAGTCGTGATTAAATTATTGTCCTTCTTTTAATTTTGGACGAGAGTCTAGTATTATAACAAAATGACATCAGGATTTCGCAAAGAAATTTTCACTACGAATAGTGATTATTTGTAGATCATGATTTTGTCATCAAATCACCATGATGGTCATCTAAACCAACAGTTGCCTTTTACTACTAAAGTTGTAAAACTTCAAATACTCCTCTTGCTTTGTGATTTTGTCAACTAAAATCTAATATAGTCGGGAACGTGTCTCAAAAAGCATGTGTGAATAGAATAGGACCTGAGTCAGCCATAAAATGCTGAATTATGCTTTGTTCTGAATGAGCAAAATGGCATTTTATCTACCATATTTCATTTTCAATGTTCCGTATCCTCTAGTAGTACAATATGCAGTTGTCGTTATTCATTTAACCGCAAACTAATGACTTTACCGTTTTGCTATAACCACAGATAGCAAAAGTCTTTGTTAAACAAATAATTGAAGTTGTCTTGAAGAATTTCACACGTGTCTATATTTATTTTTGTATCTACAAATGATCATATTATAAATTATTTACTTATTTTCTAGCAACTAATAATCTGGAATCGATTGAAATCTTGAATAATTTTCAATAGCAAGGTGTATTGATTTTATAGAATCATGAGATTATAGATCTTTTGCATATTTTTCATCTCAATTCAATCTCTCCTAGATTTTTTTTTAAGTTAATAGTATTTAAACCGATGTTATGGTAGCTTTTCTGTTTAAGAACGTTTTAAATAACTAATTTGATATTTATGACATACACAATATAGTCTTTTACACTATTGATTATTGCGTATATGTTTTAATTCGCAATAAAATATTAATTTTGGTTTTGATTTCGAATTTTACGTATCAATGGTATATCATTGTATATGATTGAATATAATTATTTTGATCCTTGGAAAAATTGAGAATGAATTTTACTACTGAATTAAATGATTTAATACATTTTTATGAATTTTTTTAATGATAAATAATAATTGTATTCTAGAGTTGCTTAATACATAAAATCGTAATTCATGAAAATATTTAAGTTCTTACAATGAAAATTTATATATTGAGTCTTATCATTCATTTTTATGAAATCATTCAATTGGGATTATAGCTCTTTGAAGTCTATGAATTGTCGAATATGACAAAATTAACGTTAATGAGTGATTTTTTTTTATTAATGTTTCAAAAAAAAGTGCGGTTAGGTTCCAGCAACTATCAACACCATTCGATATATTTTTAAAGAAAACATATAAAATATTATACATCGTTAGAAATGTCTCAATATTCTTAGTTTTTTCCCATATACGAGTATATCGCAACTTCGAATTTCGCATGGTGTGGCCTACAGGCGAGTTGCAGTGGTAAAATTTAAGGAAAACTGGAAAATCTCGAGAAAATTATATGAAAATCTTAACCATTTATATACCATTTTATTCGTAATTTTATTCTGCATCTTTCTGGTTAAGATAGTATAAGGCAATCTGTGTGATTATTCACTTATTGAAATGCAAAGTGCGGTTAGGTTAGAGCAACACTCTTCACGATTCGATATTTCTGTAAAGAAAACATATAAAGTATTATACATCTTTAGAAAGGTCTTAAAATTCTTAGTTTTTCCCATATATCGCAACTTCGAAAATATCTAAAGAATGAGTTAGTTATTACCTTGATAGGTATAATAATTACAAAAACGTTAGGTTATATAAAATTAAATTCAAAACTAGTGGGGTGTATGGCATTGTGCCTTAAGGCAAATTGCTGGAACTTCCCGCACCGTAACGAAATGGTCGAGGAATACAGAATGTTTTCAAAAAGATCATTATAAATATTGTAACATTGTCTAATATTTATAAGAATTATATAAACTGAATTGCAAAGTTAGAATTATTTGTTTAAAGTATATTAGAACTTTAGTCAGAATTAAAAATAAAATCTGAATTATTTTCGATATACAAAAAAAAATTAAAAAAAAGATGATACAAAAATTTTTTTTTCCAAAATCAATTCTTTTGTTAAAACAAGCTGAAAGTTCTTTGGATCATTTAAATTGGACGCTTAGTTCTCTCAAAAACTGCCATTTTTTGCACATTTAGCTCCGTATCTTCGAAATGGCTGAGCCTGCCATTGCCAAAAACTAATAATCACTTTTCTCAATCTTTTCTAATTGAATGTTTTTTTAGAACATTTAAATCGGATGCTCCGTTCTCTCAAAAACTCGATTTCTTTTTTTTTGCACTCTTTGCTCTTTATCTC